AAAAGTTTTTAAGTCTTTTTGTTGGTTTTTTTTTGTATAGTTAAGTTAGGATTTAGGGTTAAAATCATTAATAAAAGAATATAGATGGATTTTGGTAAAGCCTATATTTTTAAATTGAGACTCTATGACGATTATTAATAATTATCTTTTCAATTTTATTTTTTTTAAATTTTTTTTTCTTTATTTTTTATTTTATTTTATTTAAATTTTTTTTTTTTTGAAAACATTATGTAGAAATATGATTCATATATTGGAACATCCTTTATCTTTTACATCATTATGAACCTTATGTATTGTGTGTATGAAAAGATTCTTCAAACAGGAGAACTGTGTTATATGGATGCATCAGTATTATTTGATCCTCTTAATATCTCAATAACATTTCTATATATAAGTTGCACTGTAAATACACTTCCTTTTGGGCTTTTTCTTATCTTGGATGAGTCTAAAATAACAATTGAAAAGGTATTAAATTTATTAAAAATGATTCTTTTGATGAATGCATTTTTCAGACATGAGGTGCAAGTTGGGCCAATGGTCTTTTTAATAAATAACTTAAGTGCAGAGTGCAATGCTTTAGAAATTTGTTGGCCTAAAGGTATCTGTCTTTTATGTATATTCTATTTTTTACAAACATTTTGGAGGTGGCTTCACAATACTAGGCATAATATTAATAAAGAAGATCGGTCTTTAATTATAAATGAAATAAAAAAAATCTTGTATACACCTTTGAGTTCAGAAATGTATATATATTATCATGAATTTCAACAAAAATTTTCTAATTATTTACAATTACTAAATCATCTCAGGCTCTTATGGGAATGGAAGCAGTTTTGGGCCTTATCATTCTATTCAGGCTTGCTCATATACGATAATAGCATAAACAATTATATTGAAAGGAGTTTCGATATAATGAAGGATATTATATTTGTGAGAACACAGGCATACAATCCTGTACAAGTATTCTAATTTATAACCTTAAGTATGGAAAGGTTTTATAAAAGGCAATTACTTGAAATTGTATATAAGCACCCAGGAGTCTTACGCATTGTAAAGTGATTTTTATGTTTCAGCTGGGAAACTATAAATGGAAATATAATTCAAAAAACTAATATGAAGAACAAATATTTAGTACTAAGTACTAAGGGAAATAATGTCTATGTTGTTAATAGTGAAATTGGAGTCTGCTCCTATCCTGTTGGAATGTCTGATGCTCCTTATAAACACCAAGAGGCTGTTTCAATAAAATTTCATATTTCAATAGCTAATTTTATTTTGTCATTAAGTCCAGATGATTGAATGGTTTATGACTATATAATATTCAATGTGTATGATTGCAAATGCTGGTCAAAAATAAATATAAAATTTTTTGGTTTAAAATATGATGCTTATTTTTTTTTTTAGGTTATGTTTCTGAAAACAAATCATCTATGTGTTGTTATGTGCACAACCTACAGATAAACATATATGTACTGAAATGAAAATTTTAAGCGATGATTTAAGTAATAATACATTGAATGATGGTTTAATTACTATTCAAAGGTTTTTAATTAATTTATTTCATTAAAAAATTATAAGAATCTCCAAGTACTAATATTTCTTATATTAACTCCAAAAATCTAGGTGAAATGAATAAAATCATAGAAATTAATATTTCTGAATTTTCATCATTTTTAGAACTTATAAAATCAGATTATCTGAATGCTAGTCAAACATTACAAGCTGTATTGGATAAATTTAAAGACTGCTATAATGCAGCAAGGTCAAAATCTGTCTCCTGATTATCTTTCTTTTTTTATGATCTAAACTGAGATCTAGACCCGATGGTTTAAGTTAAAGGCAATGCACGTATACAAGTTCAAGTTGAATCAATTAAGCGATGCAAAAATAAAAAGAATTTGAATCCTCAAGCTATGCCCATTCATAAGAAGAGAAAAATGAATAAAAAAGAGCATAGTTTAAGCAAAAATGTATTAAATAATCGGTTAAATTGAAGGATCAGTTAAATTGAGGGATTGTTAGTTTTTTTATATATAATTTGCGAATTCTATTTTGCTTTAACTTTCATTTTTTTTTATTTAGTATAATTTAATTGAAATATCGATATAAACATTTAGTATTATAAATAAATATACTTTAATTGCATTTAGCATTTCTGTTTGTATTGACACTGGAGTAAGGGTCAGACAGGAAATTGACATCGGTGGCTTAACCTGTCACAGATTTGGAACGTGCGAATATTTGTCGGATTATATGGATATCCGAATAAATTCAGATTTGGATAAATGGATGATGGATTGGAACTCTAATATAAACCAATGCGTGACTATGGGTCTTGTAATAAATTTATTATACCTTACCCCCATATAAGTGTCACTCTAGATGTTATGCCATTTAAATATCTTCATACAGTAGAAGTATGATTAAAAGAGACTTTGGTCATCCCTTCTTAATGCTTTAGCTTAGAATTTCAACACACTACCACACGTATCTTTCATTGAGAATGCTTTAGCTTTCATCTGTTTACTCGACCGAAATTATCAATTCGGCCATGTATCATAACCGAAGACTCAAAGCCTCAACATTTGTGGCGTCTTAGCTATTTACTCACAAGGTTTATACCTAAACTAAACAGGTTATACAATTTATTATTTAATTAGGTATTACCAAAAATGCTAAATTTTGTTAGTCGCCTATTCCGAAAACAGATCAATTTAAAAACTTTAATCTCATTAAGAAAATATTCTTTTGCAATAGAAAGGAACAAAACTACTCCCGAAAATCAATAATAAGATTTTGTAAGATTTGGAAACTTAACCAAATTTTCGATCAAATTTGGTTTGTCACATGATATTAATGGCGGATTTTTATTGGTTGATATATTAAATAAAAATAAAAATTTTGGATTCCCACTCTGCTACCCACTTAGGATTGAGAACCGATAACATAGGTTTGTACGTATAGCCTTAGGTATAATATATTTTAATAAAGTAATCTGTTTGGTTTATAAGTTAATTCCTGATGTTTTAGAGAATTTATGCCTAGTTGTTCATTGATCAAATTATATTAGTTGTTTTTTTAGCAATAACTTGTGTGATTTTATACGTATAAATATGTGCATAAATGTTGTTATATGTATAAAATCTTATTATATAAATTTACGTATTTAGTAAATAAATATAAGCTATTTGTTCCGAATCTTTTAGTTCATTATATTCTAGAATTCGATATATAGTATAGAAAGAACCAAGTGTGCACATTTTTATGAATCACCTGATTTCACAAATTCTTTGCTAGGGTCCCAAACCGATTATTGATCGAGTTGAATCAATAATCGATCAGATGGTTGATCATGAAAATTTCCATAGAATACATTATTATTTTATTCAAAAAAAATTTTTTTTTTACATAGTAGATATAATTTATTTTTGATCATTTGATCGATTAATCGATAAAGCAAAAATTTTTTGGTCAATGATTTTTTGTCGAGTCAAATTCATTACTTCGTGGCTTGACTTCCAAAATTCTGTGCCATATCCGGTATTTATAATATCCAATCATTGTATCCAGTGTTGGGCTGACCAGACCAATTCGACCAGACCAGTTTGACCAGACCAGTTTGACCAGACCAGTTTGACCAATGACCAGTCCGGTCAAGCATCTTTGACATTGGTCAAGTTGGTCTAGTTGTAAGAAAAAATTGTCCAATTAGACCAATTAACTATTATCAAATTTGCTTGATTGGTCTGATTTGTTAATTTGGTTCATATTGCTAGACCATTTGACCAATTTGACCAGACCAGAAACCCTTCGACCAATGACCAGCAAATTTATAGTCGACCACTAATTTGACCAACACTGATTGTATCATATGAAATCACGTAATAACCTGGACCTTTTTCCTTGAAAATGATTTTATCATTATGATCATTTCAAGGCAAAAACTCCATCTGTCTTTAATTGCGCGGCTGCAAACCAGTTTTGTTAATCCCTGTAATTAATATCATGTAATTAATATCATGTGATAACTAGACAGTATTGTGATATGTACAAATGCTAAGTTCTAACAAATATATTAGCATAAACTCTTAAAAGATATATTAGTTCTAATGAGACATGTATACTAGTATTATTGAATGTAGTAGAAATATTAGATACAGCATAACTAATAGATATAGCAACAAGAGATCATAATATTCTAAAATGTATAAAACTTGTTATACGACTATTTGTATCTTCATCTGATATACATTTAGCCGTTTGCCTCTTTCGTAATTGCAAATCACATAATCCTCTTAAAGTGTAACTGCAATAAACCTTATATTATATTGAAGTATAAAACGGTATTTAACATCATCTAACATATCTATCGTTAGTTATCGCATACATCGGTAAATAAGACTTATCGGTGACTTTATATATCGATATATACTGTATAGCGTACGTATCATTGGAGCAACCTGTATAATCTTAAGCCAAGAAGTTAAACCCGTTTTGATCCATTGATTAGAATGGCGAAAGCTGATAAAAGTACAAAATCCTTTGTTCTTCACGTCCACTCATTATTATATAATATAATTGTCGTATGTTAGAATAAATTTAGGACCGATTTCGAATAAACAGGTTGTAATAAAATTCTAAATGGTATTCGAATTGTCAAAGAATTCAAGCGGATTCTAAATTATCAAGTCTTTATTTATTCATAACGCAACACAGGTAGGTTTGAGTCAAGTTTAATAAATTGGATTATAGGTTTTATTGGTGTTCCAAGATCACATATATACGTCAATTGGCTGTTAAGGGTATTTAGAAAGCAATTCATCAAATGCATTACGAATAAAAAGGGATAATCTTGAGGTTCGGTCATTGGATAGAAAGAATTTGTATTTAAATATTTTGACAGTTTATTATAAGGATGTAATTTATTTCAACTGTCGTTACTTAAATCGAGTCATGATAAAATTATTAAAATTTTTACAGTAATATGGTAATGATTAATTTTATAAAACACCGTCAAATTGATCTTTGGTTCTTTCAACACGTTGGTTTTCCCAATTTTCAAGTTGTTCTTTATCTGATTGTAATTTCTAATGAATGATATTCCAACCAAAAAAAAAAAAACCCCCGGTAATATTTATCGTCAAATATCCAGTTATCAAGCAAAAGTTTTTATTTTGACACGAATATCCAGTAAGTATATGTATGTGATCGATACATACCCAATATTCTTCTTGAAGATTGAATACTTGTCTTTCTTTATTCATTTGAAGCAATTCTTCTTTTTCTACCTGTTTTTTTTTTAAAAAAAAGATTAATTTTAAGTGGATTATTGAATTATTTGAATTCTTTTTTAAAAGAAAAAGAAAACCTTGCGAATTTTATTTGAATGAACATCATATCTAGTTTTTGTCAAGTGACTAAGAGCAAATGAGCCAGCCACAATTGAAATAACAAGTGGTAATCCAAAAAGGGCAAAAGGATGTCGCTTGATGGTATTGTAGGTGGGTGGTCTGTTAAGAGGTCGACGTGGTAAATAAGACATGATTAATTATAAAAAAAAAAAATAAATAAATATAATTTTGGTTACAAATTTTTATACGTAGTTGTCAGTAATAGATATCGATATGGAATCTGTTTTACATTTTATATCGATATCTATATCGATATGTGAAAACCGATTAAAACCAGTTTTAGCAATATATGAAAAAAAATAAGTAACGGCAATGTAAGGCACTATGATATCATGTGATTTTTTATTCGTTAACATATAAAATTTAACAAATATATATTATTAAAACAATATAATACAAAAGACATATACGTATATTCTTTTCTTAAATATCATGCCGAATACAGGGTAGCAAATATATTTTTTTACTAAAAAGCTAACTTCTGTAAAAATGATATATATATATATATATATAATGTACAAATTATCTTATATTAATAATGTTGTTTCCTATCATAGATGATTATAAAGACAAAAAGATGTGCGTTAATAAAAATAGGATTAATAAAAATATTCTCGAATTATCCTTGTGGTGGTTGATAATACTGAGGTTGAGGGAATCCAACACCGGGACCTGTAGGAGCTGTAGGAATTGGTTGAGGTTCAGGGAGAGGCATTCCTGTTGGAGTCATGATAGGTGAAGCGTGCTGAGATAATATTCCTGCCATTGGTGCGAAAGTTTGTTGAGGCGTGCTGTAAGGCACTTGTTGAGAATAAGGTTGAGAATAAGGTTGACTAGTTATATTCTGCATTTGAACTTGCTCTTGATATGGTTGTTGAGTCCTGTGTTCACCCGCTTGTTCAAATGACGAACGTGATGAATTAGTGTTCATAGTAATCTCGTCTCGATGAGGACTGTGCTTTGGTAAAGGTTGGCGTCTACTATCGTACCAATCCTTCCCTATTACCGCAAGAGAAAATATCCAAGCTCCGAATGCAAACCAGCCAAATGCAAGTCCTGCACGCGCTGTTCTACAATTTCCTTGCAAACCATTGATAAAAGTAGTGTCATTTCTATACGTAGCGTTAATTCTAGTCCACTTTTCTGAATAAGGATCACAATCCCTAAATCCTAATTCCAAGCTCAAAGATAATGAAACTATAAATAAAAGAATTGACCATATTGCTGTATGCACAAATTCTATCCTGGGTATTCTCAATGCTCTAGCTGCAGATTGAAATTTGCCATATGTTAAATAAGCATAAGGAATAGCAACTGTAGCTGCCGCTACAAATATCGACAAGACAACGATAAATAAGTGGATATTTGAAATAATAGAACTAGACATGAACTTATTATCAAAGGCAATTTCAGCAGCAATGCAGGACATTGAGAGAAAAGCAAAAAAAACCTGAGCTCCCCGTAAACCCCATTGCATCTTAGTAATGGGGAGTTGTAATGTTTCTGATTCCACCATGATTATTTTTTTAAATAATACACTATATAAGAGTTAGCTTGTTTCTTGACCGTCGTTAAAAAAAGTAAATTTAAATTTGTTAACTTATACAAAAGAACTATTGACAAAGTGTCTCATTCAGGGAAGAATAAACCCCAAGAAAAAATCAAAGGAATTTCCACGCTTTTTTACGTTAGAGTTCTGGCAGTGACGCCAAAGCCACCGAATTTAGTAACACTGCCACTAGAAAAGACTTTGTGCTTCTGACAGATTCGAAAATAGATTCAAATGTAACATAAACACCAAGCCAAATAAGCGATCTTCGGAATTTGATTCAGCATTTGCGGGTCAGGCTAATTCGATCATAAAATCAAGAATAATAACAAGGCACTATACCATATCCTATTATAATAAGACATCAAATATTTATATAATAAGTTTCCATTTATTCACAGCCATTGTAAAATCTTGACAGGATTGGGGCTTCACGAAGAGGAAAATTATATAAGCGGTAATATGTATGCAAAATCGATTTATTCGATTGGGAAACTGCATCTTCACATACAGTATGTGTGTTTATGTTATTTGGTTTATTTGGTGTTGGGTTTATCGTACGTATTGCTTAAGTAGTTTCTTCTAATATCGATATCGCATTTTCTAAATTTTTGTCAATTTTCATTGGTCGTAAAGGTGATCAGGTGATGTAAATTATCATACGATGTGTGATCGATCGATACATAATCAGGTAATTTACCAAAAAATGGATATCGATTCTAGAAAACTTTACGTTTATGAATGTTTCTTTGATTTTGATTTGCTCGTAGTCATACGTTTTGGCTGAGCTTTCACCATATTTATGTATTTGTTTTATATATAGTTAGCTTTACATATATGTAGTTAGTAGTTACTCATAATTAACGCTTTTTGAAAAAAAAAGCTTAAGATTCTGCCAGTTTTATTGGATTTTTCAAAATCTGCTTTTATAATATGTAAAAGTTATTTTTATGTTAAGCCTGCAGTAAAGATGTTGATGAGATTATTTTTTACTTTTACATTAATTTTACATACGTATCGATATTAGTATTTTTAATTTACAGGGTTAAATTTGTATTATTTATTAACTGTTAATTAAAAATTTTCAATTTAGGTTACATAAATTGGTGTAGGTCACGTAATTAAGGGTCTATAGGGTAACTTTCTTGTGATTGGTTAATTTTATACAGAAGAATTTACAGTTTAACATGAGACATTTGTAAACAAATAAATAAATTAAAATTACTCAAAATTTTATTTTTATTTATTTTTTTTTTTTTTAAATATTAACGATGAGGCCATCAAAATTTTATTAAGTTAATCTATTTTAACTTTCTAAATAAAAATATTCAGCATTATAAAAAAATATATAATCATATATTTTTTAAATTAATATATTAATTTTGAAAGCTTGTATATACTGTAGACATTCTTGAATATAGTTTAAAAATATTTTAGACATAGTAGATATACAAATACTAGTTTAAAGTGCTTTTACATTTCAACATAGTAAATTTGTTTTAAATAATGTAATTATAATTCATAATAATATAAAAGATATTTTACAAATGAAATTTTAAGTATTTGGATATCTTTGAGATTTATCTTGTCTAAATATACTTTATTTAGAAACAGTTTTTCAATTAGAAAATTAGTAATAAGATAATAAATATATTATTTATTATTAAATTATGTGGTTCTGCACTTCTTTATTACTATATTTTTTTATTATTTAACAATGTATTAGAAATAAAACTTTATTAATTAAATTTTTAATATATAGAAATATAAATAAGATTGTGAGTATGGTAACTTAGTAAAGTGGATAAGTTGTCAACCCTCTAAGTGGTAGGTTATAAGTTCAAAACCCACTGACAGTAAAAATTTAAATAATTACCTATGTAATATATAGATGATATTACAACAACAGCATTCTGTTAATTAGTTAGAATAGGATACCTGTAGTTATAGTTGCATTAGCATAACTGGCAGATCACAGAACATCTGTGTAATCTTAATTACACAGAGAAATACAAACTGATACTGGGCGGTGCAAACCTAAAATAAGTCCTTATGGTTGTGTAAATCCATAGAACTAAAAAACTGGAGTTCACTTAGAAAGACCCAAATAGAGAAGTAATACAGATCTTTAATGATACTACTATAAAGGCTAGACCTAAGAAACAGATACCAATGTGAAGGAGCCAGACGGACAAGAATCTTAAGTGAGAGGTATCACCAACCAGGTTACCAGAATCGAACTGAAAGAAAAAAATATCAGGCTGGCTCGATATACCAAAAACAGTTTATAGTCCTACTGGGTTATCTGAATTGAAAGTCTAAGGTCAAAGCAAAGGTATACTATAAGTACTAGGGATATGCTATGAAGTAGGTGCTAGGGTTTAGGTGAACTCTACAAGGGCTAGCCTTATTAATGTTCTATAAAGTAGGTAAGTAGTTAACAAGAAAGTATTTCAGAACCTTACAGTTAGGTGATGTATTCTGAAATGTTTAACAGCTTAACAGACATACAAAAAGGGAAGCTAAATGTTGGGTTAGATAGCACTTAGTTGTATGAGAACCAGGTATTACTTGTCTGGGTGTAGTATAAGGATTAGAGTGTTTAAATAGGTACCTTTCTAGTAGGTTACAGGCATGGCAGCTAGTGTAGAACCCTTGGGTGAACTACTTAAATAGATAACCAAAAGTTACATGTATGACTAGTTGCATACTTACTTTGTACAAGTCATATGTAATGCATTAACCAAAAACACAAATAAAGGTGATAGCTACTAATAACATTAGCTTTAATAAAATAAAATAAAATAAAATAAAATAAAAAAAAAATAAAAAAATAAATAAGATTGTTTAAGATATAATAATATAGTAAAATAGTTATATTGTTAACTCTCAAGTAACAGATTTAATTTCAAATTCTAATACTAATAAAAATTTAAAATTCTTTTTGTATTATAATTAACTGTCTTTTGTTATTAGTTAGAATCAGATATCTGTTATTTATCTTATATTAGCATAATTAAAAAGTTATATAATATTTATATAACAGAAGAAAAGTTAATAGAAAAAGAATAAATTTTTTCTAAGTAAAAGTTTTTTTAACTTTAAACTTAAAATATCTTAACAATTATTTTATTAAATTTAATAAACTTTTTTTATTTTAATTTTATATAATTTCAAAATTAAAATAAAAAAATTTTTAACAAATTTAATTAAATAATTGTTAAATTATTTAAATTTAAAAATTAAAAAATTTTATTAAAAATGATTTGTTTCTTTTTTATTAACTCCTTTTCAACAGTTATATTTTATATAAAAGAATACAAACTAGTATTAGATGATATAAATCAGTAATAAGTCTTTATAATTATGTAAATTATAAAAACCAAGAAGACAGAAGTCTACTTGAAAGATCTAAATAAAGAATTAGCCTAAACTTACTATAAAAATTAAATTTAAAAAACAAAATTAGAACTTGTAAAGTTAACTAACATATGGATTTTTAGAAAAAGATTATTATAATCAATTAAGTTATTAAAACTTTTCAGAAAAAAAGATTACATAGCAGAAAATATATAAACTAGAAATATAATTGTATTTAATTTTTTAAATTATCTAAACTAAAAGCTTGATGAAACTTAAATTAAATATTAAAGTAATAAAGATATATTGTAAAGTATATTAGTAAAAAATATAAGCAATATATTATAAAAGATTTTGCATATCAAAAATCTTTCAAAATAATTGTAATTAATATAAAATTCTTTCAAAATAAAAAAATTTTACAATATTGTAAAATAATCAAAAAAATTTTGCAATATTGCAAAATAATTAAAAAAATTTTACAATAATGCAAAATTAGAAAATTTTTGCAATATTGCAAAATAATTAAAAAATTTTTGTAATAATGTGAAATAATTAGAAAATTTCACAATAATGTGAAATAATTAGAAAATTTTTACAATAAAACTATACAAAATTATATAATTAGTTTATATAACTAGACAGGTCACTTTCTCTAAAAATTAAATTTTTGATTTTTTTTTTATATATAATTAAATTTTTTGTCAATATGTAAAAAAAAAAAAAATTAAAAAAAAATTTTAATTATGTAAAAAATTTTTTATATATAAAATTTTTATGCAGTCTGTTAGATCATTTTTTTTATTTTATATTATAAGAAACAGAAAATTAATATTGTATAACCTAATATGAAACATTTAAAAAAATTTTGTAATAATATAAAATAATCAAAAAATTTTTGTAATATTATGAAATAATCAAAAAAATTTTTCAATATTGCAAAATAATTAGAAAAATTTTACTATAATAAAATAATTAAAAAATTTTAAAATTATTTATTAATTTATTTACTTTTTAATTATTATTTATTTAGTATAATTTTTTATTTAATTTTTATTAAATAATAATTATATAATAATTATATAATAAAAAACTATACTATATATCTCAATCCCTATTAAACTTTTTTGTGAAGTACAAGACTTACAGAAAAAGAAAGCAAAAATTAATAACAATACAAAAAAAATACAAAAAACAAAAAAAAGTGAATTGGTACTTATTTTATACCAGTTCTAGGTTCAAGATCCTGATTTTAGCCTTTATTAATTCTTTTTGATAAAGTACAAGATCTAAAAAAAACAAGAATTAGTATTAATAAATAATAAACAAACTGAAAAAACTAAAAAAAAGTGAACTAGTACTTATTTTTGTATCAGCTCCAGGTTCAAGATTCTGATTCCAGTTTCTATTAATCTTTCTTAATAAAGTACAAGTCTTAAAGAAAACAAGAATTAGTATTAATAAAAGATAAACAAATCTAAAAAAACAAAAAAAAGTGAACTAGTACTTATTTTTGTACCAGTTCCAAGTTCAAGATTCTAATCCTGGCTCTCATTAACTCTTACTAATGAAGCACAAAACTTAAAGAAAACAAAAGTAGTATTAGT